CCCCAAAACCCCAAAACCCCAAAACCCCAAAACCCCTATATAATTGGTTACAGTTGAGTAATATTAATAAATGGAATTTTTAAAAGATAAAATAGACAGCTTTAAACAAAGCCTGGATGGCCTCCACGAGAAAAATCCTCAACTAGTTTACACTTTCGCTGCGATCGGCCTCGGCTACGTAGCTCTCAAAGTTGCCAAAGACCTCAGAGGTGTCTATCAGTATGTGCTGAGGCCAGCCAGAGACCTTAAACAGCGTTACGGCAACGAGTGGTGTGTCATCACAGGAGCCAGCGATGGCATCGGTAAAGGCTTTGCTTTCGAACTAGTCAAGAAAGGCATGAAAGTGGTGCTTGTTGGTAGAAATCAAGACAAGCTAGACACTGTCAAACAACAAATTGAGGACACATACGAAGGAGCCCAACTCAAGACTGTGCAGTTTGACTTCAACCAACAGTACACTGAAGAAGTGATCAAGGGACTGACCGAGAAGTTCGAAGAAATTGAAAAGTGTTCAATACTCATCAACAATGTTGGATATGCTGAAGCTAGCAAATTTGGGTTGATGAAAGATGCTGATGTCCACAACATGATCAATGTGAATATAACATCAAACACTGTGATGGCGAAGATATTCATCCCAAAGCTGTTGGCCAATGATAAGAGAGGAGGAATGATAAATATTGGGAGCTCAAGCTGCAGCCAACCATTTCCAAATTTATCTGTTTATAGTGCTTCTAAATCATATATCCGCCAATTTTCAAACAGTATCCATGAAGAATACAAAGATAAGATTGACATACTTATTTGCAATACTTCCTCAGTCAAATCTCAGATGAATAGTGGTAGATATGTTGGTACTATTACTCCAGAGCAGCATGCTCAAGGAGTTCTGGACAAACTTGGACATGACAGAGAGACTAGTGGTAAGTGTTCGACTACCTTTAAGCCAAAAGTAGTTTTTCATCAAAATTCTATGCATTTTATTCTTCTATAGGCCATTATATTCATGGAATCTACCACTACTATTCTGTCAGGCCAATAGAAGGATGGGTCTTAAAATACATCAATTTCAAGAGGCACCAAGATTTTATGAAAGAGAGAGAAATTGCCACTAAAGCTGAGCAAGAAGTAAAAGCTGACGAAGAAATAAAGAAGGAGGAATAACTTTCTGGCTAAAAATTAATTTAGTTCATTTTGTGGCTTCAATATTATTTTAAAATGTTGGGGTTTTGGGGTTTTGGGGTTTTGGGGTTTTGGGG